GCAGCACCCACAACTGCAGCACCCACAACTGCTTCACCCACAACTGCTGCACCACAACTGCAGCACCCACAACTGCTTCACCCACAACTGCTGCACCCACAACTGCAGCACCCACAACTGCAGCACCCACAACTGCAGCACCACAACTGCTCACCACAACTGCAGCACCCCAAACTGCTTCACCCACAACTGTTGCACCCACAACTGCTGCACCCACAACTGCTTCACCCCACAACTGCTGCACCCACAACTGCAGCACCCACAACTGCAGCACCCACAACTGCAGCACCCACAACTGCTTCACCCACAACTGTTGCACCTACAACTGCTTCACCCACAACTGCAGCACCCACAACTGCTTCACCCACAACGCTTGCACCCAAACTGCAGCACCCACAACTGCAGCACCCACAACTGCATCACCCACAACTGCTTCACCCACAAATGCTGCCCCACAACTGCGCACCACAACTGCAACACCTCACCCAGCACCTCACCTCACCAGCTTCACCCCCACACTGCTGCACCCACAACTGCAGCCCCACAATGCCACCCACAACTGCTTCACCCACAACTGCTCCACCCACAACTGCAGCACCCACAACTGCTGCACCCACAACTGCTGCACCCACAACTGCAGCACCCACAACAACTTCACCCAACAACTGCTGACCCACACAACTGTTGCACCCACAACGCTGCACCCACAATGCTTCACCTACGACTGCTGCACCCACGACAAATGCAGCACCCACAACAACTTTCACCCACAAACTGCACACCCCACAACTGCTGCACCCACAACTGCTGCACCCACAAACTGCTGCAGCAGGTGGTATAATGTCTGAGACCCTACCTCCACCATACAGGGATAAAAGCTCACAAATGCCATCTATGAGTATCTCATCTACTACTCCTAGAAGAAAACACATTGTTAGACATGATATTCAGGGAAAAGGAATGTTGGAAATAAACCTTTATTTATCCAGGTAAAATCCCATTGAGATCAATGATCTCTTTTTCAAGGGAGACCTGCAGCAGTAGGTTCCACAAGAAGACATAAAAACATAAACAACAGAACAACAAAAGGACATCATACAGCAAAATGTACAGGGATTACAATTTACATATTTAACCACATGTACAGGTACCAACAGCATCTGATTTTGTAGCATCCAACCGAGCTTTAAAAACATGTAGTGGTACTAGCTTGGTAATTTTCCATTCTTTTTGCAGACTGTTCCATGTTAGTGGAGCTGCACATCTAAAAGCTTTCTTCCCTAAGACTGTCCTAGCACTTGGCACATTTAATAAAACCACAGCATGCGATCTCAGGCAATAAGTACTTTCAATTCGCAGAGAGATCAGGGAGCAGATATAAGGTGGTAGTTTATCCAACATGGCTTTGTAAATGAAAAAGTACCAGTGACTGAGCCTCCGTACAGTAAGTGATGGCATAACCGCCTTGGTATACAGGGTACAGTGATGCGTAAGTGCTTTACAATTTGTAAAAAATCTCAGTGCACTGTGATACGCAGCATCTAACTTGCTCAGGTAATTGGCAGGTGCATTCATTTATAACAAATCACCATAATCCAGCACAGGTAAAAAGGTCACAGTGACTAGCCTTTTCCTGGCCTCAAGCGAGAAACAGGACTTATTTCTGTAAAAGAAACCTAGCCTAACCCTCAGCTTTTTAAGCAGGTTATTGACATGAAGTTTAAAAGTGAGACAGTCATCAAGCCAGATACCCAAGTATTTGTAACAGGTGTAACTTCAAGTTGTATTCCTTGCGTAGTTACAATATCCAAAGCAGTCTCTGGTGTATTTTTAGCTTTAGCTTTCGAAAAGTGCATTACCTTGGTTTTATCCACATTTAAAAGAAGCTTAAGCTCAGAGAGCTGAGCCTGAATAATGTTAAAAACAGCTTGTAATTTAACAACAGCCTCGTTAATCGAGGGACCTGCACAGTACATAACGGTATCGTCCACATAAAAATGTAAGGTTGCTCCTTCGACATTTTTACCTAAACTATTAATATAGATAAAGAATAATAACGGACCTAAAACTGAACCTTGTGGTACACCATTAGTGATGTTTAACCACTCAGAAGACAGCCCATCAAACTGAACACATTGGGAACTTTCAGAGAGGTAGTTTACAAACCACCCTACTGCATGGCTGGACATGCCTATACTGACCAGCCTTTGCTTCAAAATGCAATGATCGACAGTATCAAAAGCTTTGGATAGGTCAACAAATAGAGCTGCGCAACTCTGCTTATTATCTAAAATACTCGTAATATCATTTACCACTTTCATTGTGGCAGTGATGGTGCTATGTTGATTTCTGAAGCCTGACTGATGTTTAGACAGGATGTCATTGTTACATAAAAACACCTTTACCTGTTCACTCACTAGGCGTTCAAGAACCTTGGCCAGAACTGACAATTTAGAGATGGGTCTATAATTGTTTAATAAGGTGGCCTCCCCTCCTTTTAGTAGTGGCAGGACATAAGCTGACTTCCATACTTTTGGGATTTTGTTCGTGCTGAGAGAGAGGTTAAAAAGAGTAGTAAGAGGTGGAGCAATAAAATCTGCAGCTATCTTTAAAAAGAAAGGTTCTACGTTGTCCGGACCAGCCGGCTTTTTAGGATCTAGCTTGGTTAAGACTTCACGAACAACATCAACAGTAAAAGGAGTAAAACTGAAAGGGTTTTCCAGACCACATTGTTCTGAGTCACCGACTGTGGTGTTCACAGAAGCAGAATTAGAAACAGAATGAAACCACAGGACACAAAATTCTCATTAAAACAATTTAGTATGGTGGCCCTATCCGATATAGTGCCAGATACTGTGGTAAGGCACGGAGGTAGCTCATTACGGATATCACCGGTGGATATCGATTTTATGGCTTTCCAGAATTTTCTAGGGTTGTTCAGGTTCTTTGTGGTAACTGACAGATAATACCAGTGGCGTAGCCAGGAATTATTGTGTGGGTGGGCCTGGAGAAATGTAGGTGGGCCAGGGGGAGACATATTAAGCGTGGGGTCTGAGCTGAAACTTCATTAATGATTTTAATGATTTTGTAATGCACTAATAGAACATAAGCATAAATTAACAGTGAAAACAAAAAACATAGGCATGGCGGCCTCAGAATGTGTGTAAAACTGACATCCACATAGGGATGGGTATCGTTAAGGCTTTAACGGTACTACTACTTTTATCGATAGCGCTTATGCTTAGCTCCAGGTTCAGTACCAACCACATCATAAAGTACGCGGACGATACAACAGTGGTGGGACTCATCAGGGACAACAACGAACAGGCCTACAGGGAGGAGGTGAAACATCTGACAGACTGGTGTAACACCAACAACCTGATCCTGAATGTCGATAAAACAAAAGAGATCATTGTCGACTTCAGGAACAAAAAGCACTGTCACCCACCACTCCACATCAACGGCACAGCAGTGAAGACTACAGACAGCAC